GTACAATGTCTCCGTACGTTCATGAGATGGGCGTGTCAGGCACCGCACTCGTGGTAGGTAAATGTTCATGATTACTGTCTTGTGGATCATTGTCTATCACTGTATTATTGTCACTATCAACTTCATCCAATTCAGGAATCATTATTTCATCGCCACTATCATCATCAGAACAAATCTCGTTCACAACATTTTCCAGCTGGTCTGTAGGAACACGAAGACACTTGCTGCAAGAAGCCATGGTGAAACTGAATGAATGTGAAATATTTTCTGACCTTTTCCTTCTCAGAGGGTTCTGACAGTAATATAGACCCCCACAAAGTTTACAAGGGTTCTTTACAAACATGCACAAAAACTATCATATATATGTCTTTGGTTGATGAGTGCCAAGAGAGCAAAGAAGGGAAGAGATTGTCAAAGCATTAAAACGCCAACGCCAGGGAACGGCTGGCATCGTCCGGGCGTTAAAACACGCCCGCGCCAGTCAAAGAGTTAAGCAGGCCTCTCTTCAGTGTGGCTTTGGACTATTTTCAGAATAACTTTCTCAAACAGCATGCCTCTTGTGGAGAGGAGGCTAATCGAATGTAAATTATGAGGGAATTTTTGGTATGTACCGGGTTTCAGTAATGTTCTAACTTTTGTTCCTTCCAAGGGTTTAGAAAATGGGACACCAGAGGCAGTGATTAAATGAATGTGCCAGATGTACCACTGGTCTTCTTGGAAGATGCCTGAGGCATTCGTTTAGAGTACTATAAAGACCACAAGCCTTTCTCAATTACAGTGGATTTGCTAATTTTTATGTCACAAGGTCTTGCTTTTCGCAAGGGGGCGTCATCTACAGATGTGAGCAGAGCTTTGACTCTCCATGCTTTTTGTCATACAAGTCATGAGATGAAAACTAGTTTTCTAAACAATCTGCAGTCGTTTGGGTGATGATATTCCTAAAGGTCCACGAACAGTGGCTGGTGCCTTTGGTCCACCCTTTTTCATAAGAGATTTCACAGTAAGTCACACAGCTTGAGGTGTGACCAACTGTTTATTTCACACCATTTGAATGACTTCTTACAGGCCATTCTTCTGATGGTTTTGGTGACCCATTTAACTGTGACTTCACATGCTGGATCCTGGGTAACTTGCCAGTTTCCATAACCTCCTCTTTATGTTTTCGCAGACTCTCCAACCAGGTATATGGTTATTAAGCTCCAAGAGTGTAATTTCTCTTGTTGATAGCCTTTACGCCAAAGCTGTGGAGGCAATACAGTCACAGGCTGCTTTGTCAGCTCCTTCCTTTGAGTTAACTGGATTATATGTGAAATTAATTTAGAGGCCAGGCTTTGAAATTGCTCGCAGTCTGAATCTCTCAGCCAGGTCTGAAAGGCTTGCCAACCCAAGTGGGGTTTCAAACCAAGATAGGTTGCTAACTGATTGTCGGTCGTAACATGACTTTGATTTCAATCTGCTGCATAAGCCTGCATTGACAGAAACCCTCTCTAGGTATTGTCCAAATACAACTTTGAATACTGCAGTGACACATGGTGCACAGCACCAATATGGATCTGGACGTGGTGACAGTTCATGTATCTTCATGCCAAAACTACTGTGCAACAAACATAGCTCCTCCACAGAAAGACTGACCCCACACTTTAGCAAAGGGGGGGGGGCCAAATTTTTAAAAAACACAACGTGTCTAGAAGAAGAAATCTTGGTCAAGTCTTGAAAAGTCCTGAAGAAGTCAAGAATGAGTGCGAGCGAGGTCCTGCAGTTCTTTCTTCATTTGTTCATCAGTGCTTTTACACATAAGGCACATTTCAATACAGGATCAATAATCATAACCAACACCAGCGGGCAAAGGAGAATCCTCATGGTGTAATCTACTCTAGACATGAACTTTTGAATGCCTGAACCAATCTTTATAAAACGTGGTACGTATATCATTCCACATAACCCCAATCTCATCAGTGTAATTCATAAATCCCTCCCACCAGTAAAACCAAAATTAGAACCTCTCAAATTTTCAGGCCAAACCTTAATACTGCTCGAATAAAAGTAAGTAAAAGTAAAGTAAAGCTATCCCTGTACCAGGCCGTGAAGGCCCATAGGGTTGTGAGACACTGAGGGTCCCACACTATCTAGACAATTGACTCAAAGATGGCGGTAAGTTCAGTCTTACGCGCCAGCCGCGCTTTACTCCCCAGGAAAATTATTTAATTAATTCCTGGTACTCATTTCTGTTAGAGGCTGAGTAAACCCCAGGGTCTAGTGCGGCTGGAAGGATTAGGTCAACTGAAAAAAATCCAATGACCTCATCGGGACTTGAACCTGCTACCTTCCGGCTTGTAGCATAGCCCCTCAACCAACTGCACTACCGCGTGGCCCAATACTGCTCGAATACTTGGATCAATCTTCAGGAAACTAAGTATGCATATCATACCAAATGAAACCATCTCAACACCTTACTCATACATCCCTCCAATCACAAGTATCAATATTACAGCCTCAAAAATTGTTGCGGTAATAACCGTAATCATACCTATATGCCTGAACCAATCACCATGAAACTTGGTATGCATATCATGCCACCTGAGCCCATTTCAACAGCTCACCTCATAAATCCCTTCAATCAATAACATCAACATGACACTTTTTTGAACTGCTGAGGAGAAACCTTAATATTCCTTCAACACCTGTACCGATCTTCAAGAATCTTACTATGTATGCCATGCATTTCATCATTCCTTTCCATCAGTTTATCTCTCAAATTTCTGGGGCAAAACCTTAATATTGCTTGAATACCCGTACCAATCTTCATGGAAGTTGGTAAGAATATAATACTACATGAGGGCACTCGACAAGTACATAATAAATCCCTTCAATCAGTAATACCAACATTGGAACCTTTCAAATGTCTTAAGACATAAATTTAATGTTGCTTGAATGTCTATACCAATCTTCATGAAACATGGTATGTATATATCACGCTACCTGAGGCCATGTCAATGGTGTACATGATAAATGTCTCTTATTAGTATTACCAACACTATAGTCTCTGAAACTGTGGTAATACCCCCCTAATATTACTTGACTGCTTCAACTGTTCATGAAAATTTGTTATGTATATCATCCCATCTGAGACCACATAAATGGTGTATGCAAGAAATCCGTCATTAGTTGTATCAACACCACAGCCTCTCAAATTGACGTAATAACCGTAATATTACCTGAGAGCCAGAACCAATAAGATACTTCATACATATATATGTATATCATGCCATGTCAACAGTGTACCCATAAGTCACTCAAATCAGTAATACCAACACTGAAGCCTCCCAAACTGTTATTTTATTGACTTTATTATGCATACATACCAAAATTTTCAGTATACTTGAAGTATCACATACTAAAGTTATAGTGAAAGGAAAGTAGGTGATTGTTTCTTCCCAGTACTTTTCTACTTCCACATAAGACTTTGATATAGCCTAATCAAATATTATAGGCTATCCCCCCCAATTCAATGAGTACTTACTGGATGACTTTCAATAAACATCTTATCTTTCATTAATATATCACGCAAAACTGATGCTTAATGTAAAATACACACAGATCTATGAACAGCCCGATTTTCAGCGCTCTTACAAATTTCCTCTTTAACAACTTGTCTTCAAAACAACAGCTTGCCTACAACAACAACAGATTCATACTATATCAGTTCAAAAGCTGAAATGCGGTTCTCCATCGTGTATGTTCCTACACCTAATAGTGTAACATTCTGATACTTCCAAGCTTCAAGATGCAACAATATGATATAACCTAAAATAACATTTTGAAGACGCTTTCATACTAACTAGACGATTATGTGGGCATGCATGATATCTTTATCAACAAGCATCATTGCCATGTTGACCAGCGGTTTGTTCTTCACGGGGAGATCCAATAATGAGGGCGCATATACTTCGGCTCTTTTGCTATGTTCCACATTTGCACAATCGATGTCATGTTACCTTGTCAGTTCTTCAAATCATTCACGCAGCACTTAACTGTATTACAGTAAAATATCCTAAATTCAGTAACTGTTCACGATTTCATCTGGAAACCATTCACAGATCTAACAGAACTAAAAACAGCTTGAAAATGGTAAACATTTGCAACTCACTATTTCACATCAAACAGGGCCTCCATACATCTTGAAAATTACCTATTAAAACTCCATTTTATAACATAACAGAGAAAATTTCAGCAGACCCATCCCTTAACTGTGCAGTGCTATTTGAAAGAGATCAACAGCAGGAAGTTCGTATGTCAAGCAGACAAAGGAGGCCCCCAGTAAAGCTAAGTAAAGATTTATAGATAAGCATAGTGCTGGTATCCTCAAGAATAATATAGTCAATGCAAACATTAAGATATTCCATCAAAACATGCAAAGTGTAAACAATAAAAAGCTAAATATGGATGTGCTACTAACAGATAAAGCACTAGAATTGGACATACTATGTATCACCGAACATTGGTTACAGGGACAAGAAATAGGGTATTATAATTTTGAAAACTATTCCCTTATATCGAAATTCGGTAGGAAAAATAAGCAGCATGGAGGCTGTAAAATCTGTAAAAATCTAGAAAACTTGAATCAAGAAGAACACTTTGAGGCTAATATAATCGAACTTATCCAGTTTAATACAATTATTATCTGTGTATATAGAACTCCAAACAGTAATAATATATTTATTGAAACCATAGACACAATAATTAGTAATTTACTAAATGAAGGGAAGAGCATCATTACTGTAGGTGATCTCAACATAAATTTCCTAGGAGGAAGAGTAAATCTACAACTACAAACAGTGTTAAACTCATATGGCTTGCAAGCAATAGTTGATGTCCCAACAAGAATAGGACCTAGAAGTCAAACAGCATTAGATCAAATAATATTGAACAAGGGCTTATGGGAATACAATCTTAAGGTGATTGAAACAGGATTTTCTGACCATAAAGCACAGATACTACAAATACAGATGCAGTATAAGAATTGATAGTGGAAAGTTAGACTAAAGGAAGAATTCAGAATAGCTAGATCTTACATGGAAGAGAATGTACAATACCAAAACTACCTACTAGAAAAAGAGACTTTTGAGCTTGTTTTTCAGCAAAATTCAGCGAACGAGGCATACAATGAATATTTAGGTACTTTACAGTATTATTACGATATAGCTATGCCTAAAAAGGTAAAAACTAAAGAGCAGGAAAATAAATGGGTTACCTCAGGAATAAGGGTATCAGGGAAGAGACTTAACAGTCTAATGAAAGAAGGAAATATGCCAGAAGAATTTAAATACTACTACTTTCATTACAAAAGAAAATATACAACAAAGTTATCAGTGAAGCAAAAAAGTTAACTAATAACATGCGAATAAGAGCATCACGGAAAAAATCAAAAGCCATGTGGGAGCTAGTTAAGGAGTAACTAGGTAAACAGAAAAAAGCAACGAAGAATATTGAAATAAGTGAGAATGGAGTAAATATACAAGATCCAAAAGCTACAGCCAATGAAGTTAATGTCAATACAGTAAAATATAATATTAACAGCATGTTCTTAACCCCAACTACTGAAGAGGAAGTGGCAGGCATAATTAAAGGACAGTAATAAAAAATCAACGGGAATGGATGATATTCCAGAGTATATTATTAAAAAAAATTATCCTAAAACAACAACTGCTTTGACACATAATAAATCTGTCACTCTCAACTGGGCATTTTCCTGATCAACTAAAAACTGCAAAAGTGAAACCTTTGTATAGGAAAGGATGTGATACAGAAGTTGGGAATTATAGACCAGTTTCACTAATTTCTGTTTTTTTTCAAAAATAATAGAAAAAATCATACATAAAAGACTTGTTATCATTTTTTAATAATCACAGCATAATTAACAATAAACAGCGTGGTTTCTGTAAAGGGAAGTCAACAAATACTGCAACTGCAGAGTTTATAGAAAGGGTCTACAAATCAGTGGATGATAGGGAAGTAAGTATAGGGATATTTCTGGATCTGTCAAAGGCATTTGATTTAGTTGATCATGATATACTGCTAAGGAAGGTGACAAGAATGAGAATAACAGGGGTTGCACTAAAATGGTTTCAATCATATCTAGATATCAATGATCTAGAAGGTGGCATTGAACATGGAAGACCAACGTTTTTTGCCGACGATACTAGTATTCTTATAACAGGAAACAGTGCTAATGATGCCCAAAGGAAAATAAATAAAATAATAAATGCACTCACAGAGTGGTTTGAAAGGAATAGATTAATTATTAATAAAGAAAAAACAACAATATCCTTTCATCAACCTCAAATAGTACAAGTTGAATGCCCATGAATAAAGCTCTATGATACAGTGATCAATTATACAGAACATACAAAATTTTTGGGACTTTGGTTGGATAAGAATCTAAGGTGGACTGCACATACTCAACAAGTACCAAATAAATTATGTAAAATACGTTTTGCCTTACGAGTAGTTAAAAGAGTATCAGGATTAGAGACCGTTCGCGCCTTATATTATGCTTATTTTCAATCCTTATTATATGGATTCATATTTTGGGGCATTTCAGGAAATGCAATTTTGGGTTGCAGAAGAGAGCTATTAGAGCTATGATACAAATCCCGAAAACCATTAGTTGTAAACATTATTTTAAATCGTTACAAATATTACCTTTACCATGTCTGTATACATATGAAATTCTAGTTTACATAAAAACCAATCTGAATGTTTTCATAACCAATTCAGGAATACACTCGCAAAATACAAGGAGAAAAGAGGACTTGTTCATAGTTCCACGTAATAAGAGTCTATACAAAAACAATTATTGGACTTAGTATGTTAAATCAGTTGCCACAATATATTAAAGAGATACCAGTACTATACCAGTTTAAAAAGACTTTGAAGACATTCCTACTTGATCATTGTTTCTATAGTGTAGACGAGTTTCTCTTCTCTTTTTGAAGCTAACCTGCTATCCTTAAATTTTAATAAAACCCACCATCTCCTGTTCAGGACTAAAAATAGTTTGGTAACAGACATAAGCATATATCATCAAAATAAGAATATCACTAATGTGCCAAATATTAAGTTTCTAGGTATTTATATTGATGAAACATTATCATGGAAGTCTCATATTGATAAATTAGTAATTAAAATGAGTGCAGCTTGCTATGCAATTAGAACTGTAAGAGGTCTCATGTCACAGGAAACCCTAAGGATGATCTACTTTGCCTATGTGCATACTATCATGGAATATGGGATAATTTTCTGGGGTAGCTCAGCAACTAGTATAAATGTTTTCAGAATGCAAAAGCGGATCATTAGAACTATTATGAATGTAAGAACTAGAGACTCATGTAGGGAACTATTCAAAAACCTAAAAATATTACCAATGTACTCACAGTATATATACTCTATAATTCTGTTTGTTGTAAATAATAGAGACCTATACAGTTCAAACTATGAGACCCACAATCTCAATCCTAGACATACCACAAATTTGCATCTTCCCACATCACGCCTAACAATCTTTCAGAAAGGACCATATTATTTTGGTATCAAGGCTTATAACCACCTGCCATCCAGAATCAAGAGTATGAGTAATGATGTGAAATTATTTAAATTGAGGCTAAAAAGATTTTTTCTTTCAAATTCTTTTTATTCCTTAGAGGAATATTTTAACCATGTATGTAATTAAAATTGGTAATTGTACCCCTGATATGTTATAATTTTATATCATTACCTAAGTATTTTGTATCAATTATTGTTTTATAATTTTGATCATTTTATGCATTGTACATTAATATAAATCTTTTAACTGTCTTAATGACAAAAGTATGTATGTAGTTTTTGTATTTTGCGTATTTTAATCTATTAGCTTGGGACAAAATCCATATCCACTGGTCAGCTGTACCATAAGGATCAACGGAATGTATAAATGTAAATAAATAAATAAATCCTAGTTCTAATCACTTGTAAACATATATTTCAAGAATAATTAACTTGTAGATTGTAATATTAGTAATGTTATAGGAATGCCTACTGCCCTACTGTGTATTTTTTTCTTACAGGAACGACATCGACGATACAAAGATATTTTGTGCCCGGATAGAAGGATCGGGTCTTGAGTCGTACAGCGGTGTCGTGTGTTAAACGATTATATTCGTTCTATTATTATAATCATCATTGTATTATCTTAGTATATTATTATTGTAAAGTCTTTTACTTGTCCTATATCATGTATAATGATCCATGGATATAAAGTAAATAAATAAATAATGAGATGTTACCTTAACATCTGTTTTAAAATCGCCAACAAATAATAGTTTTTCACGTATAATACTCTGTCACGAACATCACGAAGTCAATCTGTCTCTCCTCCGAATAACTAAACATGGCTACCTACGTATCCCTAGTAATGTTGGAACACGACTCATAATTGGTCTCGAACGAAAACTATACAATATAGCCCTTTTCATCCTCCAATCATATCGTTTGTCGCTTTATGTGTGAAGTTGTAACTTTTACATCATGCGATAGGTGGTGCATTGGATGAAATCTGCTTGAATTCGGAAATAAATTGTAAAAATAACAAATTTGCACCACTAATACTAATTACATATATATTATTGTTTTGCTATGTAATACGGTACTTAAAGTTTTAAAAGCAATTGATTTAATATGACAAGGTTATATAGGCTAAATGGGCAGCGCCTGCTGTCAAGGCGAATAGTTAGATGAGTGTTTCATTGAACCTTTCACTGCTGGACAATGATTTTGCATCAACATTTGCTTTATACGATTTTAGAGAAAACATTGTACAATACGAAACGATACAAAAATTTTCAGTCTCCAATGACGTCATTTCTTATGTTCTCGTCATTTCACGCTTGAACGCATGAAGTTGTAACTTCGATATGTTCGATATCATCCGATAGATGTCACAATGGAAGAAAGTGGGGTTGTCGTGAAAAATTCAAGAATTTACAAACTGGAAGTATATATAGTAAATACATACGTTCATACATAATTGTGTGCCATCTAATAAGGTACTTAAAGTTTTTAAATGTAATTAATTTATTATGACCAGGTTATCTAGGACAAATAGGCAGGGTTGAGCAGTCAAGGTGAAATGCCGAATGCACTGATTCACTTCAACCTTCTACTGTTAAGGATGATTGTACCATTACTTATACTTAACATGATGCGTTCTGTTTAATGTTTTTAGGTGTACTAAAACTTCATATGGAAGATTACAAGTTTTTATTTAAGGTTGTCCTTGTTGGAAATGCTGGTGTTGGAAAAACATGTTTGGTTAGAAGGTTCACACAGGTAATAAATATCAATTCATGTTAGAAAAAAGGTTCATTTCAGTAGAGAATAAAAGAGAGTGGGTTAAATTGGAATTCCTCTTATTATAGGGTCTTTTCCCTCCTGGTCAAGGTGCTACAATTGGAGTAGATTTTATGATCAAGACTGTGGAGATAGATAATGAGAAAGTCAAGGTATGGTAAACAGCACTTATTGATGACTGTCCATTGAATTATCACACAAGGAGTTAACCATGCAAGTAATATATATTTTGAATGATCTTGGAAATTTTAAAGTAATATCCAGTATTTATATATGTAAAGAGTACATGGGAACTTGTAGCTGACAGTTCTGTAAAATTCATTCACATAATAAGTTTCTGTATACTTTACTGGCACAACTTCAATTACAGTTTGATACAGAACTGATCAATTCAGTTTCACCATTTAAATGGATATGATACAGTTTATGGTACTATTGCAAAATGTTAAAAATACTGGGACCGCAAGCGAAATCAATATAAAGTTCTTAAACTTGTGTACATGTACAATATTCTTTTTAATATGCATATAATTGTTAATCTGTGCATTATTCATTTTCTAAACAGTTACAAATCTGGGATACAGCGGGACAGGAGAGATTCCGATCCATAACACAAAGCTATTACCGTTCAGCTCATGCACTAATTTTGGTATATGACATAAGCTGTCAACCTACATTTGATTGCCTCCCTGACTGGTTGAGGGAGATTGAAGAGTATGCTAGCAGCAAGGTACTCAGGGTTTTAGTAGGTGAGTTCTGCCTTACGTAAGTTTTGAGGTTCTCATGGAAGTGCTTGTTAACATTGTGGCTTTGTGGGTTGTAACACCATGTTGTATGAGTGGATACCAATGTTTCAGAGGAACATGCTGCTTCACATGAACTCCTTGAAGAAAAGGAAGCAACATTTTTTTCTCTTCCAATGACAACCCAGTTACTTCCTTCAAAACATAATCCCTTTACTTGGGCATTCATTGGGAAGAAAATGCTGTCCTATCACTTCCCATCTGTTGGGGGCCCTTAAACAGGCCATTATTTCTCCCAGTTACTGAGCCCAGACTTTCTACCTGTGAGAGAAACTTGTAGTGGCTTCTCTCCATATCTTACCCAACTCTATTCTCCCCATGAAAACAACACTGGATCCCTTTAAAGGTTCATTCTGTCTCACTGTTCCATACATTTATGGCAGTAAACCATTGTGCTCCTTATAAGTGCCATGTTTATCCATTTTTGTCCATTTCTTTTCTCTGCTTGGAGTGGGTTCCTTTCTTTAGCCCCTCTCCATGGATGTCATGACCACCCTCATCCCGACTTTCCAATAGTATCAAGCCTGTTTCTGAACTTGCACACTTCAACCTTGCAAATAGAGGCACTTCTTCCTCTGAAATATCTCTACCCGCCCACAAAAGTATACAGTGTCACAACCCAGAAGGCTATAGTCTCTGAAACCCCAGACATCAACACTACATTGACATTGCTGATCACCTGAAAAGTACTTCATTGTATGGCGCCGTGAAAGCTTAAAATTGAATGCAGGAATACAGGATGTCCCAGGAGTTTGGTGCCATACTTCAGGTGCGTACTGAGGGTTCCCTATAGGATAACTTTGAAATAGGAACCCATGCCTGCAAACGTAAAATAGCAGTGCTAGTGCGGCATTTAAAATCATTTCGTTTAAACTTGGCGCCTCAATGTCGAACTGCATTGCATAGAGGAACAACCATTCAACAGCACTCGTGCCATTGCCTAGATTGTGGGGACATCGAAATCAAGTGTTTGGAAGATCCTGCACAGCCAACAACTTTATGCGTATCATCCAACACGAGTACACTACATAGGTCCAGCTGACTTCGTTCCACGAGTTCAATTTTGTCGGTGGATTCTGAACCAGTGTTTACAACAGCCCAACTTCCTAAATCACGTGTTATTCACAGACAAAGCGCAGTTTACATGGGATGGCTGGTTCAGCTGTCGAAACAGCCATGTTTGGGCTGATGAAAATCCCAATGTTACTGTAGTTGGTTACCAGCAGACGCAGTTTTCTGTCAATGTCTGGGCAGGCATCATTGGCGATCACTTTATTAGGTCTTTCCTCCTGCCACCACGACTCAATGGGCACTATTACAAGGTGTTGCTAGAACGTATCCTTCAGACTTACCTGGATGCTGGTTTTCATGGTTGTTGGATAGGGAAAGGAGGCCCAGTGCCTTGGCCACCCTGATCCCCAGACTTGACACGTCTGGACTATTTCGTCTGGGGCCATGTGAACAGCCTGATGTACGACATGCCTGTGGATAATGAATTTGAGCTGCTGGCCAGAATACTTGTTGCAAGTGACGTGATCCGTGAGACACCTGGAATATTTGAAAGGGTGCGCCAAAGTTTCTTTCATAGATGTAATGCATGCATTGAAAATGGAGGGCACCAATTCCAACATCTACTCTAGCAGGTGAGTCATAAAGAGTTTGGAGGCGGCAGTATGCCTGTGCATGCTCTTCGACATTGAGGCACCAAGTTTAAACAAAATTATGTTAAATGCTGCTCTAGCACCGCTATTTAATGATGGCGGACATGGGTTCCTGTTTCAAAGTTGTTCTATAGGGAACCCTCAGTACACTCCTGAAGTATGGCACCAAACACCTGGGACACTCTGTATATAAATTAGAAGAAACTCTACAAGGGGACTTTACTGATGACTCATAATATGTATCAGTAGAGAACAGAACCAAGACAAGGCAATTGTGTGCCCTGAGAGTGTTTCAAAATTGCTTCCTTCCCCAGTGAATGTGTGAACACTTTAACTTTTACTTCTTGAAGGGGTATTTTACTGTGGGATACAGTAGTAGCAGCACAGCAGAATCATAATTTCTTATGTACAGGCACAGTTGCAGATTTAGCAATGATTGCAGTACAGCTTTTCTTGCTTGAAGGCTGCTGTTCCTGTTTTTGGTTAGAAGTCTCCAACGGCATAGTCTGTTATCAGTTGACAGATATCAAGAGGTGTTGCTGATTTCACCAGTACTTTCTGTGCCTGATGTTTGAAACTCTTTACTTTGACACTAAATTTCAAAGTTTCAAGATCCTTGTTATATTTCATAGCTAAACTGTTTCCAGCTCACTTGAGTTCAGTTAATTCCATGATTTTGGGCACAGAACCCTAAAGGAATTCAATATCCCAAGAGGTTTCAGACAAAACTTTACTTTCTGACTTTGTCAGCTGTGAGAGAATACAAATTATTTTACCTGTATATAAAACAATATCTTGAACACAGAACCAAACTTGCAATGGTGTCTTAAGTTTATCATGGTTAAGAATTGGATTCCAGGTGTACCAGTGGGTACAAGAATTTAAAATCTATTTCCTGGAGAGAACTTTGGTGTGTGGAAATTGTTTTTGGATTTTCCAACACATTTGCAACAGGTTGTGTCATTCACCATCTGAAACATTTTATAATGTGTGAATGTCATGCTTTAATAGCACTAACTTTATGAGAGCAGCATTTGTCCAAGTAATATTTAAGTGAGTTTTATAATGTGTTCATTAACATTTACCAAGAGCTGGTAGAACCTGAAAAAATGTGAAAACTCATTTAAACTGTTGTGAAAAATTCAGGATCCTCATTATTCAAAGAAGCTGCATTTACACTTGCTAGATTAAGACTGTATGCTGCAAAAGCTCATAATTGGCATATATTTTTCCTCGAGAATGTTTGATTATAGTACATTATATTTATCCACTATATTTGCTACATTGTCATAGTACGAGTTCATAAATTTCACTTGGAAAATCGCTTGGTTAATAAATAACCCATAACAAACAAACTCTGTGGCCTGTAGTCCGCAAGTGAACTATACTGACTGAGCAACTGCTGCTTGAGGGTAAGGTTAGTGCCAACTTTTGCAGATAGAGGGTGTTGCGTGGTGAGCACAACGAATCCCCACGGCCATTAATCTCGGCTTTCTGGACCAGAGCCACTTTTTCCTTGAAATAGCTCCTCAGTTATCCTCATGAGGCTGAGTGGACCCTGTTCCAGACCCACCACTTCTCAGAATATCTGGTAGTGCCGGGAATGGAACCCGGGACCTCTGGGTATGTAGCCAGGAGCTCTGACCACTAGACCACAGTGGTGGGCAAATCAGTAACCCATAAACTCAATAACTCATATTTCTGGCTTGCTTTAAAATCAGCCTTCATCATCAGACCATATTTCACTAGGTAACACAAAATTTGATCATTAATATTAGGCTATGACAGAGGATAATTTGAATGTAGTTGGACAGTAGGAGTTACATCACAAGTTAAACTGTCTCCAATCAGCTGGCTATTATTTTCAACTACTGGACTTTTAGAGAAGTTCTTGGAATGTCAGAATCATGTGTCCTTCACTTTGTTTCTTATAAAAATATGTGCACCAAATGAACTCCATTCCTACGTCTCTTGTTTCCACCTTCATAGGCAACAAAATTGACCGAGAGGATCGTGAAATTCCAACTCATGTGGGAGAGGATTTTGCCCAGAGGCATAGTATGTATTATTTAGAAACATCTGCAAAAGAAGCAGAGAATGTTGAGAGGCTCTTCATGGAAATAGCAGCAGAATTAATGGAGGTAAATATTTCTAGTATATGTAAGGTATACATTTATACTCATATACTGTATATCTTGAAAATGTCTAATTCTTCTTTGAACAATTCAGAATTGACAGATTTATGAATGGGCCTGCAGTTTATCTTATCAGACACAGCAAGTCAGGGTAGAATTTCTAGTCTTCTGGGTTATGATGCTGTATAGCCTGTTGCAAGTCAACTGACATTTTGGAGGAACATGTCACCCCCATCTTCAGGGTTGACTATACAGCATCACATCCCAGAAGATGGAACGCTTCATAACTACTGCTGTGAGAACTTCAAATCATACATAATGTTTTAAATAGAGTCTTACATTGTTTCCCTGTTAAAACGTTAAATTTCTTGTATTATACCTGCTTCATCATTTCTTGCCACTATGTCAAATGGTTGGTATTTTACAAACTGCTTTTTTCAAATAATGTTTGCCGGGATATTTATCGTAAGTCATGTGTCTTCTGGGGCATTTTGTTTTGACCTTGAGACTAAAACTGACATGAGATTACTCGAAGACTTGTTTTGAGAAACAGTTGATGATTACAAATACTGCAGAACAGAACATTACCGACTGGTGTGAGGTTATATTTCACAACACTTTTTATTAAAATCTTATCACAATTCATTTGTTCAACATATTCCCTACAGTTTCTTCTGCAGTGTTGTTTTTGATAATATCTGTTATTTATGTTATTTGTTTTTCTGTATTCCTTCATTTCTTTTATGATCAGAAGACTGTAACCTACTGCCCATCTTATGAAATGCATTTCAGCATTGATCAATCCTTATCATCCTTATTTAATTTTCTGATAATGTTGCTGTAAGGAATTCCATATAAATTTGTATTCTTTTATATCTTAAGACTAATGATGGTTTAAAATTTGTTTTATTCCACCGTGGACTGATGACACTGACAGTTTTCACATTCACCCTATTTTATGTAGAGGACATTTTGGCCAATGACAAAAGATAATTAATTGAGTGTGGGGAATATTTCATGATATTGTGACATGACACCCAAAAGCCAGAATAGTGAAATCAGGAGTCATCCATTGCTAGGCAACTGCGCGGTAAACACATTCCTGCGACATTGACTATGCAGGCAACAATCAGATAACTTTCGTTGCTATTCAGTGGCACTGTAAACACGCCTTCTCAACCATAGAGAGGCTGCTTTTCTGCACGGCCCATGCCAAGGGGCTGTAAAAGGGACAAAGAAGATCATTTAAGTTAGTTGAGTTTCAAGACACCAGCCTGCCAGGATGAGAGCTTGGGAGCGGAGAAATAGAACTAAGAGTCAGGTCTTCGTAGTTGGCAAGTTCAAAGAATAATGGCAAGAAAGGAATTAGGTGGTGCAAAGAGAACTGCATGTGTGAGTGGTATAACTACTGTGTTGAAATCCGTTGCCAGGATATGACTAGTGAAGACTGAGAAGACATAGCATGTCTTAGTGATTTGTGAAGTGTGTAGATAAGTGATAGCTCTGCAGTTACACGTTGTTCCATGTGCTGTGTATAAGGTGTCGATAAATCCAATCTGGGACCTGCCTATAAGTCACGTACAACCGCTGCATGTGACAGTATTACTTTATGAAGAGGGTATCATTAACGCTTTAGACATATGCATGAGGTGAAGTCTCATCTGAGGCGCTGCCTACTCAGGCTGACATTTCTGTGGTTTTTCCTGCTTAGGCCCTCCAGATAATACCTTAAATTAGAACACAGTTGTCTCCTTCCACATCCTTTCCAGTTCATCCTTCTTGATTTGATCACCCTATATCTGGTGAAGAATATATATTTTGAAACTTATTGTTATGAAGTTTTCTCCATTCTCATGCAGGTTTGTTATAATTTTTCATGAATAGAGCCCATTGTATGTTACATTCACTTCAAGTCCAAGACATCTTTTGATGATAGGGATTTTAACCCAGAAACATTGAATTTATCATGTGGTAACACAGTAAATGAAAATTGTTCTCATGGAAGTGAAGACACAATGTCACTTTTAATTATCGGTAATACCCATATTTATATACTGCCAGATCACCTTTGTACCCTAATGACTTGCAGAGGTAATTAATATGCAAAGAAAAGTGACCAAAGTTTCTCACTTATGTTCACACTCTTCTTTTAATGCTGTTTTAATTTTTAATTTTTCATTACAGTGAGCAGTGTCAAATTATATTTTAATTAAACTTGTTGCACACACATTGTATATTGAGGATCCTCTCAATTTTAACATTGTTTGACCCCATAATGTCTAAATCCACCCCTGGTTATGATTCTGGAAACAAAGTACTAATATACCATATACATCCAACTATTGACATGAAATTTTTCTTAGGATAAATGAAGCTCTTGATTCTCCTAGAAACAGACAAGAGAGGTGTGAATCCTCCATCAAGGGAATAAATTAAAATCTGAAGTGCTCCTAGTTGTATTAATACTGTATTATGCACTTTTATTCCTTGATAGGAAGCGAGAAGCAAAGAACTACCGAGGTATGATACCAGCTCTCCAAAAATAAATGGCCGGACTACAGTGATAGGAGATGGTGGCTGTTGCAATAGAATGTCCTAACTGCTACAGTTTGAATGAGATTAATTTAATAAATTAATATAAACAAATTCCAAGGGAAAGAGCAATGAAGTTGCCAGGTGACTTTACAAGGCCCTGACGAAGACTGATGTTACAGTACATGTATCTATGTAACATTAAGCTTTACTGCATTCCTTTTTTTTTTTTTCTTAAACATTATTTAAGAAAATGCAAGAAGTACCTTTTTAATTATATATTTTATATTTTTACATGTTTCTCAGCCTACCTTGCCATGCTTGAGCCGATAATATCATGGAAACTAAGAATTTTACATGCTGAGTTCACATGCTCTGTCAAAGGCTTGCTAACCTCTCCAGGGAACTAAAACACTCACAAGAAAGAGAAAACAATCTTTGATTTATAGGAACAGGCCCTAATAACCTACCCCCACAGAGTCTATAATGATGATGATGATGCATGACATCTTTCTAAGCCTCCTTTATCTTGCCTGAGCATCACAGAAACTATTAAGTTTACATGCTGAGCTCATATGTAAATATCTTGTTCCAAATATTTGTGTATTGTTACATAAAACTATATTTAAACAGGGAAATGGAAGATATGTACATATGATACATATAAACTTAGATTCCTGAAATTATATATGTTGTTGTCATATTAATTTATTTCTCAAAAAATAAACTGTACATGTTTTTTGGTATACCTGTCAAACACAACAATAATAAGAATAACTCACTTCCACTCTATTATGCCATCAAAGTTTTTATTGGATTAGGGTATAACGTTGCAATATGTTTTGACTCCTACATGGAGCCATCATCAGGTGATACAGTTTACAGTTCTTAAATTACTGAATTGTGATTCTTACGAATATGGATCCATGTATTACAGATATTACAAGTGCTATAGGAAAATTTTACACACCCCTATTAAAATTAGGCTCAGAATACCAGCCGTGTCCTTTCCAGAATTTTAAGATACTTACACATTGACTAATATCATTTACAAAGTAATGCAGAACTTCTTGCTAAAGTTTCACTTGTCTGTTGAGATTTGCATTTTACTGTTCTGCTGCAAGATTTTATTGAAGACTGTATTCCTCATATATTTATCATAAGAATGAAGCTATGCATATTACGACATTAACATTGGAAAATGTATAAATTATAAGTTATTAGGACTGTATATCTATAATTACTGGAATCCAAATTTGTATCTCCTACTTGAAACAATGGACATTACTCACAGTAGCTTAAGGCAGCTTTGTTGTTGTATTGACCTAATTTATAATTATAAGTTAATGTTATGAGTACCATAGTAGCAGATATTATTTTGCCTACTGTCACATAGTCAGAGAATGTAAATATTGTTAAGCCCAATAAAGCAGTTATGTCCATTATGGATAGTGGCATGATTTTTTTTTTCAGGAAAGTTTAGGTATGTGCATGGGTAGTTCAGAAAGCTAGAAGCTTGGCATAAATGAAGCGAAACATCAAGGTCTTATGAGCGAAAACAAACCACAGTGATGAAATAACACTGGAAATGATTTAGCTAGAGGTAAAAATGCCTGATTCTGTAATATGAAGCATTTCATTATTTTGAATAAATATTGTAACAAGGCTCACTACCTCTATCCTTCTCTCTCTCAGTGTGTTGACAAGAAGTATTGTTATGCAAGAAGTAAAACATTAGATATGACTGCACTACATAATATATCGAGTTATTAACACCATAATTATTTCAGGAAGTATATTCCAGTATTGTTTGTAACTCTTTTTACATATTATATACTGTAGTGTTTTTATTAGTACAACTGGACATGTGTATTTTATTTCTGTGATAGTGGCAGTACTGTAACATGTTGTGTTCAGCTTTTTAATAGAAGTTTTGATGTTTTAACTGCATTGTATATAAAGTTTTAGAAACACAAGTGACACATAGATTGTTTTAACAGATAGAGGTTACAGTTTTATCAGATTTATTGCTGTGAGCTTGAAAGTACATTTATTTTATTGTATCTAATGTTACTGAATGTGATCTCATGTGAAAGAAACTTTTTTTTTATTATTTATGGTACTTTTTCAGGAATGTAATGTATATAAAATACATCAGTGCTTTATCTTGCTGTAGATGATATGTTTTATTTTGTGGCTATTATAAATATTTGTAATGAAGAAAGACATGTTTCAGTACATAGATTTTAGATGTGCATACAGAAAACATGCTGATAAAATATAGAACCAACAGGAAGCATGATGAATATAATCTGATTGGATTTTTGCGGTATATTATATTTGTTCATGACAGCTTGCAGAGTTTGAATGCCCTAATGACTTCTATGTTGATACATATATAGAGTATTTCAGGAGCTTCAGTTTATTTGGCCTGCTTCCCCATCTGACAGTAGGCACTATTTATTAGAATGTCATACTATGACATTCTCTTGTTCATGTGTCTAAATGTGAATACATTTAGATAATATAATGAAATATATAACTTCAGATTTCAGGAATAAACTTTGTAGAATGTTTGAAAGTTTTCCAATTTTTAGCAAATATTACAGTTGCCATCTTAAAATATAATGTCTTGGAGATGTTTTGGAAGCAGCAGACAGGTGAGCAGGATGTAAAGGTGTAATTTTAATTTTAATTTATTTCGAGTTCCATAAGATCCAACAAAACTGGTTACAAACCATAGGATATAGAACATGTTAAAATACAGACTAGAACATGTCAATATAAACAAAATATAAAAATACAATACAATCNGTTATAAGAAAATGAGAATAAAAAAGTTCCAGTGACTTCAACCCTTTTCTTAATCATAGGGTTGCAAAACTTGTATTCAGTGTCTATTCTTCTGATCACATGGTCTCTTAATAAATTTCATATCACTTCTTTTCTTCAGCAACAGGGTCACTTCCTGTTGGATAGTACACCGCTCCTCTATTTTGTCCAGTTACATCTTCAGCTTTTACTGCCTGATATGTATAAGGACTTCTGACCCCCCCCCTCAAAGACATTCACCCTGAAGATGGTAAGTGCAGTGTTTACTGAAGCACTGGAAAATCTTTAACATTCTGCAGGATTTATTCTTGAAAGCTGAAATTATACATTAAATTCAAGCTGCAAAATAACCTAAATACAAGAATATACCTCAAAGTTATAATCATTTTATTTTCATACTGTAATTTTGAAAATTCAATCTAAAGTTAATTTTGGCCCAATTCCTTTAACTGCCTGTTCTTCTTTATACTGTATGTATAAGCTATATAACATGGTTTTGATTTGATTGATATCTCAATTGTAACAGTTAGATTCACTAAATGAACAGAATTTTTAATAACAGATTTGCATAATTGTTACAAGCATCTCTCAAAGATGGTTATGGAAATAAATGTCTTTTGAAACCTTCACTGCATACCAAGCATTCTTTGCAATAGAACTGAAAAAGTGAATTGTCAAACCATTATCTTTACAAATATGTGTCTGATTTATTTTTTATGCAGTATGTTCCAAAAATTAGTTTGTTAGTAGGTAACTAGTCCTTTTCCATTTTTTTCTTTTTTCTTTATTAGGGAGTTATGTGGTTGCAAAGCTTTTCCCATTCAAGATTTGAGTGGGGGAAAAAATGGAACTGTTCTGTGTTACCTTGGTATCTATTAGAGCAAAATGGTCATTTCTTGGTATCAGAGCAAAATGGTCATTTCTTGGATGAAGTACTCAAAATGACCATCATCGACTATGCAGCTCGTTACATGTTGTGTAAGGAGTGCATGCACCCATTCCAATATCACCAATGCCTCGGGTACAATTTGTACTGCATCTGGCACTTACTACTATAGGACACCCTGGGACTCAAACTCAGTGGCATACAGAAGATCCATGCAGTGTTTCCATATAAAGAAGTGCACTTAATTTTGATTGGGTGTATGTACTGCTGATGCCACACATTATTTGCATCTCGGTCACCTTTGTGAAAACTCACAGTCCATCTAACTGCATACCTGGTGACTGTAGTGCATGAACCACATTCTGACTTGTGTGGCTAATGCAATGTCATCCACGAGTTGTGGAAATTCTGTTTGTAAAAGTTGCTAATAGGTAGAACTGGTGAGATGAGAGGGCAGAATACCAGAACCATGATATGGTCGCCCAGAAGGCCAATCAGAAAATGGCTCTGATGCCTCACGACTCACATACCATGTGGGTTTTCTTCTTCCAAAGCATGCATACTGTATAAGTTCACCAGCCCATTTCTTATAAAGTGTGTCTCATCTGTCAACTGTGATGAACTCAGGGTTGTGTACACACTAGTGATGCAGCCATTGACAGAAGCGATTCATAGGGGACTCTTCATTAGGTGCAGCTCTTGCACTCATACTGTATATGAATGGCAGGGACAGGCAACAAGTGTAGTATGGAAGAAAAATTATAACTTGGGACACAATCTATTGGGATTGAGTACTGGCATCCCTTATGCATCATGTAGAGAGCTACCTACTGGCTGATGGAAGAAATTTCAAGCACTTCAGAGAAGTGTTCTATTTACTCAGATATTAAGGTAATACAAAATACTCCCATTTCTTCGGCATCTCAGATCTGTCAAATGAGGCGAACTTTGCAATCACATTTCTCTGTTTTGAAGTTTTAGACAAAATGCAAAGGACTTCTGACTCAAGAAGTTACCTAAAGTTCACTCTTAGAAGGAACATTTTCATGTTTGGAACATTCTATATATTATTGTATGCTCTTGTGAAAAATGTTACAGCAAGGCAGTGATGACTATTTACATTCATGTAATTAGTGGGTACACAGGATATAGGTGCTGGATTGTGAAGCCTTCAGCAGTTCCTTTACAGAAATAGCTTTATTTAATCTTTACTGTGATCTCAGTATAATATTCAAAGCACCTAATGCAGCCGAGCTGTGATCTGTAGTACTTATTGCACTTTATTGTACAAAAATTTAGACAAGGGCCTTGATTTTTTTATGAACAGATTGTATTACTTACCAGCAAAATTTATTATTTCTTTCTTCACCTCATTCTGATCTTATATCATTATTTGCTGACTGAAACTCACCCTAAGCTTTTTAGTGATTCAGTTGCCATTTTGAACATGCATAAATGCAATACATAGTACACTGTATGTATGTAAATATATATTCATTATGTAGTGAAAACTTGGTTGCATGTGTTGACTACAGAAGACGGTAAAAATATTTCCTGTCATGAATTCTTCCATGTATAAAAATATTAATGCTTTATTGTATTGTTTCAGGATGTCATAATGGTACAAATAATAATAAATAAATTCAGTCTTTAAAATTAGTCTCTGTTAAAACAATAATTATGTTATGGATGCACATGTTTATATGGCAGTTCTTTTGATGTTTGTTTCACAAATTGTTTAAATTTGTTTGTATTATATCATTCTCAGCCCCAAGTAAGTATTAACAACTTGCTGAAACTGGCAGGAACTTCTCTTTTATCTCTTGGCACACAACCATTACATTTTAAGGAATAGCTTCTGACCCAGAAGTAGTATAAATCTACCAGATGCTGAACAGTTTTTAGATGGGAGTCATTCAGAAGGTCACAGTGGATAGACCATTTTCCTTGTTTCAGAAGTTATCCAGACTTGTAACTTTATTCAGCAGAAGACAGTATGCATGCAAGGGAAATGTCTCCAGTTGGCTTCGGTTTCAAGATATCTAAAACAGAAAAATTGACAATCAAGTTCCTTCCGTCAAATGTGACACTTTTATAAGTTTTCCACCTCGTCACCACCTGCCTTACATGTTTCGGCTCACCACGGAGCCATCATCAGAGGCATTTATAGTAGAAAAAGAAATCACCAACACACAAAACTTCACTTTGTTANTAATTATTATAAAATATTGAGAATAACTCTCAATAAAATACCATTTAGGCTTTTGGGCGGTTATAGCAGTGACTTCCCTTTCTACAGCTCCATCGTCGGAAAAATGTTCATATATATATATAATATATACGTAGAAATTCAGAGAATAAAATACTTCGGTAATCTTCGTGTGTGTTCAGAAGACCATTCTTAATTACTGAATATGGAAACAGCATAACAGCCCCTTTTCAGGTACCATGAAAATCTCAAAACTTAAGAAACTCACCAAATATTTAAAAGGTAAAGTTGTCCCTGTACTTAACTGATTAAAGACTACGCCATGAAGACGTATAGAAGAATAGATGTATAGATGAGTATTTTCTTGACTTCGGCACTCGCTGGAGGTGAGTGGTCAGCTTAACGCCCCTGCCGCCTTACCCCAGGGGGAAGAACCCCCTGTACCCATTGGATAGGAGGTTGGGTGGACCCCAGAGCCGGGCTGGACGACGCGGAGAAGAGAAAAATCTTTACCCTATCGAGACGGGAACTCTTACCCCCCGGTTCTCCGACCTGTAGCCAGTCGCTATACTGACTGCGCTATCCCGGCTCCTCACGTCCACCCCGTAGCAAGTCGCTATACTGACTGCGCTATCCCGGCTCCTCACGTCCACCCCGTAGCCAGTCGCTATACTGACTGCGCTATCCCGGCTCCTCACGTCCAGCCCGTAGCCAGTCGCTATACTGACTACGCTATCCTCGCTCTTCGCCAAATATTTATCAGAACGAAAAGATGATATATGAATAAGTGTTACGGAGGAGAATGACATATTCTCTGTATTCGTTTTCGGTTCTTTGTTTATTTTCGAGATAAATAAGCAGAGGGTATTGTTACGGTGCTGCGTTTTTTTAATTTTTTAAATCGCACATTGTATCACACTGTTGATTTGGAATTGTAGCGCACTTTCCATATGTTGAGAAAATAGGAAAAAAATCTGAAATGAACAAATAACCTACTATCCTCTGATATGACATGGGGAAAATAAAAGAATTAGGGGGTATGACCCGACAGACAGCAAGGCAATCTCATAAGCCATTTTATTATTTCAATTCAAGGAAAGTAGCATGATAATTTATATACTCCGTCGGAAGTTGTGCGCTCTTCACCATCCCCTGATGAAGGCCTATATGGGCCGAAACACGTTGTGAATTGAACATTAAAAACTTCTTCGTGTGACGGCAACATCTCTATTCCTGCAAGGCCATAAGCAAACAATAGTTCTGTTAAATTGTCCCCACCTCAATCGATCTGTATGAAACGCAGTATGTACGTGTATATGATGTCACTTGAGCCCATCTCAACTGCATGCATCAGAAAACCCTGCCTTCAGTCATACCAGCATTTCTTTCTGCTTGTCATATAAAATAATGAAATTGTAGTGAAATAAATGCAGACGATTAGCTCTTTCCAGAAATTCTTGTATTTAGCCTACTTTCCTTGTTTTGAAAAATGCACATGATTATGAGATCTGTGTGTCTCCGTGTCGTATCAACGAGAAGTAGGCTATTAGTTCTTCCCATAACTTCTTGTTTAAGGTGTTAGGGCAAGTGCCCGTTGAACTGTAACGGTTTCATTGAGTATAGAGATGACATACCATAAGAAACTTAGCCCAATGTTTTGCCCTTTTTATAAATGGAAGGTTTCCCAGCAGCCAAACCAAGCCAGTAAATGCAGTGTTATAGGAAACACATGTAAACAGGTTTCCAGCTCACTAAGGTTGCGTTGCCCCCGTTTTACATACATGGAAATTTCCCCAGTAGGCCTATGAATCCATGCAAATTTTACTATTGATTCACGGGTTGTGCTGCGTATGTAGGTATATCTGTTCCAGAGAATTCG